GACAAGGTTTTGTCATCATCAGGTACAGATGATGACAAAACCTTGTCGAAACGTTGTACATTTGCTGTTATATTAAAGTTTTTATTCCTTATCGTATGAAATAATTTATTTCTCCTTACAGTTAAATTGGATAAACCTTTTTTGTATTTTTCTTGTGAAAACTATAATTAGTATAATGAAATACATATACGAGTCTCAGTGGTAAGTCTGTTGACTTATAACGCTCAAAATCAGGTTTTGATACCCACAATGTGGAAAAACACAGATAGGCCCAATGTGTAGCTTTGTGCTTAACAACAAAAAAACATAATTTGTTACAAATAGCTATATATAATTTTTGTATTCAAAAGACGTCTGGAATTAAATTTTTGGTCTAGTGTGGTGCTGCCATCTATATGCTATTATATAAAAATGAACATGTATTTCAGAACAATAATAATGTGAAAACATTTATTGCTGCCTTTATCATAATATTAAGTTGGTTGGTGGGCCGCACAATGCCAAATGGTCAGCATGCTCGGACTGTAAAACCAAGGATTCATGACTTGCATTACGGTGACATGGGTGCGGCATAAAAGTGATGGTCAAATTCTGCTATTAGTTCAGACTAAATTAACTCCAGACTTTGCGGTGCCTGCTGTTTGATTAGTTACCTTCCCTTTAATCTATCAGATAACAATTTGCATGGATAGCCCTTTGAATAACTTTGTTCGTAGACTCAGAAATAAACAAACAATATTACGCTGGCCATTAAAACTGGTTGATCGTATTTACTTCACATATTCAAATAAATAAATAAATAAAATCATAGCTATACAACAAATTCTACTTCTTTTCCTGTTCCTTCCTAATTTTAATATCTGTCAGTCTTTAATCTTTCTTTTTTCTTTATTCATAGCTTTTCTTATTATTCTTTTCTTTGCTATAGCGCAAAGACTAAACAATAAGCTGTCTGCTCTGTCCACCGCCTCATTCTCTTAAATACATAGGCCCAATATTTGTGATATAAATCACATTAACTGCAGATATACATATGTGTGTGTGTTTTCCACAATCCTCTAAATCTGTAATAGCAGATTCAACATCAGAAGCGTGTAAGAATAGTATTTTCAGATCTGTCTTTTGTCTCCAACAAGTCATTGTCCAATAGACTTTACATTCAATACCAAAACTCGTCAGTTAGGCTGGACTATGAGAACAAGAGGATCTCTCAAATGCTATTTATGTATGCGGTACCAGTATAATACTTTTAAAGTTATCGTAAGGGAGGTCATGGCTACCCGTCATTTCTAAATTTAACATTACACCACTGTATAAATGTATGTTTTTTGGTTTAGGACTTGTAAAGGAAGTCTTGCTGCTCTTGAGATTGTTGAGGGTCACATATGTGGACTGTGGATTAGATTAGGTTGCCTAACTCTAGCTCAGAGTTTCACATTCTTTTATTTAAAAATAGCCATTGCACTGAAACGTTTTGTATTTTTTCGTTTAAAGAGTAACAACATCACATGCTGCTACAAACACACGTAATCAGTTTCTTAATTCATATACCATTAAAAATGTTGATAATAGTTGAGTATCTACAACTTTCGTAACAAGTATATTTAACAACTTATATAAAATTAAAACACAATTTTATTGTTTTAGTTCTCGATTATGCGTCATATTTCTCAACAGACGCCACCAAATATGTAAAACAATAAGCACATCGGTCCTGTAATTTATTTGGCTATAAAGAAATAATTTTAGGCTACATTGCAAATTACTATTACTTATTAAAAACGTTAATTCCTGCAAAAAGAAAAAAAGAAAACGTTTAAATCGTTACGATTTACTATTTTGATAATATACTTGTTTGGTTGTTGTTAAGCGCAAAGCTAAATGACGGGCTATCTATGCTTTACCCTCTACGGGTATCAAAACACGATTTTTGGTTTCTCAATAAGCTTGCAGACTTACCGCTAAGTCACTGGTGGGCATTTGTTTGGAGTCATATAATCTTAATTTGATACAATATAGTCTCGGTTTAACGCCGCAGAGTCAAAGTTTAATGTCATAAGGTCTCAGTTTAGTAGCGTATTTTTTTTATTTAATGATTATATGTTGAATAAGCTTTTTTTGCAATAGTATTCAACAGAAAAGTGAATAATTTGATAAATGATATCTCAGGTGTGCAGTAAACATTTTGACCCACGAGGAGCAAAATGTTTTACATTCCACTGCCGCTTGAAGTCCTGTATATAAGTCTACAGCAGTTGAATATATTTTTAATGCTAATACATTTAATAATCAAAGCATTGCTAATATTAATGATTATGTTTGCTCATATATCTACCATCAATGTAAAATTAACCCAATTTAACGCAATGTTTAACTGCTGTCTTTTTATTGTCTTATTTACAGATGCGTCACTAGATGGCGTAATGAACTATTTCAGTAATTTTTAAAGAGTAGTAATTTTAATATTAATGTGTTCAAACAGATGTAGATACTTTTCTAATGGTAAATGTTTATTTGTTTTTGAATTTCGCGCAAAGC